GGCCCCAAGGTAGAGGATTTTAAGGGATTTTAACACAAAATTAAGCAGTTTTATTCTCCAAAATATTATCGGGATTGGCCCTTTAAGTCTGAGAATGCTTTGTGAACTCGGGACCGGATTTATTATCATGGCATTGGTACTTGATAATCGACAATATTAACTGTTAATCGTCGGAGGCAATCAGGATTTTGTTATCAAAAACTTCAAACATTCATAACTTCATTCAGAATATAAAGTAATTTGACTGAAATGTTCAATATATTCATTTTGAACTATTATGTCAGAAACCGCCATTTTATTATGCAAATCTTACATACTGCCCCTTTAAAGTTAGACAAGGAGTAGGATCGCCTGTTCAACCTCGTGGGTTTTCTCTGGGTCCTCCGGTTTCCTCCCACTGTTAAAACCCCTACGAGCAATTGCATTATTGAAATAAAATTCAACCATATATTAGTTCCGAAATGACCTAGTTTGTGTCGAATGGACGTTAAACTCTCCCTTTCTTTTTAATGTTAGTCATATCTGGTCAATAAATCAGTAGTCGCGATGTAATCGCTACTATGGGATACAAACAAACTTAAACTTCATCAGTAAATTGTTCTTATTAATATTTAATTTAACATGCCACACAGCTGCCCAGTCATCTATGCGAACAAGTATCGGTTCTTATACTTATCAATGATATGTTTTGAGATACCACCAAGATACTCACTCATCCAAACTAATGAGTTAACTCATCTAAAGTAAGTCTCAATCAGGCGTAACACCTACGCAACATTTACGTCAGATAATGTTGGCCCATTCGGGAAACCTCGGTATTCTCCGGTACCCTACATCTAACCTCGTCTGTAAGTGGTATGTAGCTACACCCATACAATTGTGGCGCGGTTACCGGTTTACTTATTATGAAATCTTGCCGCTTTTAGAAAGAAGTTCTCAAAATGGCGTCGTTCGAAGAGTGTGTAGAGTTTTCATTGCAAAATTGTCCTTTGTTTAAAAATAATCGGATAAACTTGAAAGAAAAACAGATTCAAACATTGACAGCTTCTTGAGATAAAACACTCTTCGGCGTCTTCATGGGGTCCGCCGTTTTTAATCCGGGAACTTGAAACTAGTTCCAATGGCGGAATTCGTCATACGGCCGAGGATAGATGTAGGGTACCGGAGTCTGCCAAATAAATGTTGGCCCGCAAATTGCGTCGTTCGACTAAATATAGTGATGCGCGGACAGGTCTACGTAAACCTGGCACAGCTTTTGCGACACTCATGCAATACCTTTACGTAACCCAACTACCGACACTCACCTCGCACTACTTCAGCGCACATTGACATACAGCAAATGCCTACACTAGGTGACGCAAATTGTTACACAGAATAATCAGCGCGGCTAACTACCGCATGCGTGTGAGCCAGGCTTAACAGATGTGTGTGTGAGAGAGAGAAAGAAATGGGGTTTAACGTCCACTCGACACAAACTAGGTCATTTCGGGACTAACATACGGTTTAATTTTATTTACATAATTAGCAGTGGGAGGAAACCGGAGGACCCGGAGAAAACCCACGAGGTTGGACAGGCGACCCTACTCCTTGCCACGTACAACCGGGGATTCGAAACCACGCGAGTCGACTCAATGACAGACTGTATGATACAGCGCGCGCACGCTAACCATTCAGCCATCCACCCCCCCCCCCCTTAACAGATGTACTTTGTATTTAATATCTCGTCTCGTTTTAAGATTTACAGGATGGTCATTTTTTGTAAGGCGCGTGTCCCCTAGCAAAGAGATCCTGGATTCGATCCTGTCGATGGCTGAAAAAGTTCCTTGGGATTTTCCAGTGTGGGATCAGGGAACGAGCGGTATCTAGTCGTTTGATGCGCACGTTTAAGAACCCTTGACCGAATGCGACGAAAATTAGGTAAAATCGCTGTGTTCCTAGCACACTTCTCCTCGAAGTACACTATATAAACGATTATTTTTTTTATGTATATTATATTATGCACGCGCCCCCAATATCTACCATGCATCCGGTGTATTGATCATACAATATATTAAGATACAGAGGTGCAGCAACAGTACTAAACATGGATTGATTGAAATAGCCACGATAAAAGTTTAGTGTGGAAACTCAAAGGTTGGATTAACGTTTGATCTTGCATGATAAAACAAACAAGACAAAAGTCTACCATTGAGCTTTAAAATAGAGATGATTCTCAAAAAAACCTTGGAGAGTTCTTTAGATTTCTCTAAATATGATTGGCTTAATATTTATTGATTCGACTGTATATGCATCATTTTCTTGATAAAGACTATTGGATGAGAAGCCGCAATCCGTGGTAAAAAATATGGTGAGGCTGTGATTGGTTTTAGTAATTCAGCTGTGTATAATTAATGTGCTTCATAAAAACTAGATAATCATAAGCATCATTCAGTAAGTCCACAGACTGACAAAGACAAGGGAATAAGCCACAATCAGTGGTATATATAATATGTTGGTTTTAGGAATTGTTTTAGGAATTCAACTGTGAAATGGTTTTAGGAATTCAACTGTATATCTTATGTGCTTGATAAAGACCAGATAAGCATCGTTCAGTAAGCCAATAGTAATCGTATTTCAGACTATGTCCTGTGTAAAGAGACCGAACCTTTCTTTATAGTGACTTACCTCTCAAATCATGGCTTCAGTGTTAAGAATGTATGGACATTTTGTGTTATATTGCGTATGTAACTTGGTATTATTAAATCATCATTACATAACGGCTACACTGATATCTGAATATGGTATAATTCGCCCATTTTCAAATACCACTAATATCGCGGCAAATATAACAAGACTGGAGATGAAGGGTTCACGGAGTTATCTGGATTGTTTTGGGAGTTGTCTACAGGTATCACAGTGTGATTCTCTAGTCTTTTCGTCTAATATATGTTACATGTATTCTGCAAATGGCGGCGTATTAAATAAAGAATTAGTGGATAATCCCGATGGAAGTATTTATGGCGTAGTTCCAAGCAGGGTATGTATTTGTAAGTTAATAATAATAACTGGGGGTTGGATGGCCGAATGGTTGGCGCGTGAGCGCTGTATCATAAGGTCTGTCATTGAGTCAACTGGCATGGTTTTGATTCCCCGATTGTACGTGACAAGGAGTAGGGTCGCCTGTCCAACCTCGTGAGGTTTTCTCCGGATCCTCCAGTTTTCCCCCCACTGCTAAAAACCCCTACGCGCAAGCGAATTATTGAAATAAAATTAAACCATATGTTAGTCTCGAAATGACCTAGTTTGTGTCGAGCGGATGTTAATCCCCATCTCTCTCTCATAATAATAATAATGATATATATTTACCCAAGTGAGGTATGTAATAGATAAACGTCAACAAAGTTGTGAGTATAGAAGTAGGTTTACAAATGAACACCAAAACGTGGTTTTATGCCAAGTTTTGGACTTTTTAAAATTAGTCTGAACCATCGTAAATTTTAAACGGATTTCTTCGATTATGAACAAACTACTTAAATAAAATCCATTGCACAACTAATTATCCCAACGAATAAAAAATTTCTCTTGAAAAATTGAAATCCCACAAACTTTTGACACAGAAAAATACCAATATGGAAGCTGATTACGTCAATCTCCGGGAGATATCATTTTGTATAAGGGGTGAAAGCATAGCAAATCGAAACGGTTTTAGGTACATTTACGACAATTCAAGTTTGGTTTAAGAATAAGCTATAAGTCTCGGATCGGGATTGAGTTTGAGCGTTCACATACATAACTGTCCGTATACCTTTATTTTGTTACCGTATTTTACATATAACTTTACATTTTGAAATATTTTGTTTTAATTATTTGAAGCGGTTATCATTTGATCAAAAGAATGCTATCAAATTATAACAATGCACTCGGAGACTTCGGAGGTGAGCTTCAGGATCCTTGTTAAATTATTTATAACATAAGGAAGATAGGATATGTTTAGTTTATATATGACTTTACTTTTACGAGTATCCGTGCAATCAGTGATATTTTCATCGTGAATAAAATTTGATAAACTGGCGATCAATGGTTTCAATACAAATCTCCTATTTACTGTAATTGCCTCCAGTTGATATTGTTAGTCGCCCAAACTCAAACGATCGCGCTTTGTTTTCATTGCAACATGTGGTTGTCAAACTATCTGTCAAAATTAAACCACCCCGGCAACTGCTGCATTGGTTTCCCCCAAAACGTGACGAAAGCATTATTGTCTTCCAATCCGTCGAAATTACAAGTAAATAGTCAAATTTGTCGAGAGAAATTTTTTATTCGTTGGGATATTTAGTTGTGCAATGGATGTTATTGAACGGGAGTTGATTTCAAACACACAGGTAAGTTTATAGTAACCAAAGTTAAGTAGCTTGTTGATAAACGAAAAAAATCCGTTTAAAATTTACGATGGTTCAGACAGTAGTTAGTTTTCCACATATTGGTTGCGGGTATGAAAGTGGTGGCAGACTCTGAGACATACAGAAATATAAAGGAGTTTAAACATCACGAAGAATCTAGCCCAGTGCAACAAGTGCGGTGAACTTGCTCGATGGATTCAATTAGACGAGATACCGCTGAGGATACACCGTAGTGACTCTTGTGTGGAATCGCAAACGCATTCCACTACCCGACTTACCAAAACGTTCCTTCTCACTCTATGGTTTCAACCTGTCAGTGATGCAGGACGACGGTAGCCATGGCATGGAAAATCTCTCTAGTTCTTCTTGGCGTGAACATATAAACGTAATCTTGACTATTGGCATTCGAGTAGGGGAAAAGGTCGCTTTCTCGGAAAGTCATCTTGTCCACCTACAGCACACTGCATAACGTATGCTCGTCTTGATCAGCCCGGTGGGAGCAGAAAAGTAAAACTTTAACCCCCATTTCATAATTTACGCGAATATCACCTACTTTTGTAAGCAGTATAATATATATTTAGTAAAAGGTTTGGTAATTTTGTTACAGATTCCGTGTGATAAAGGCTTTGTAGTAGATGGTGTTTGTCAGTGTTACCACAAATGGACTGGTGCATTATGTGATATATACATGGATGGTAAATAAAATATTATATTATACGAACCCATGCCCTTTGCCTAGTATATATCTAGGGTAGTTATTGATACACCGCCTTACATTTTCTGTCATATGTCAGATACCCGGTGTTGGCCGAGAAATTTCATCGGGATTTGCCGACGTGGTTCCCCTTGTCAGTGGTGCAGGACATACGGCCTGACGAGAACAGTTGTCAAGCCGTTCAGATGGGGCAAAAAAAAAAAGAGGTCTCGCGTACACATTAGCGTGCACGTAAAAGATTCCTTGGATTCGATATACGAGTAGGCCGTAGCGCCGCTGCCCAGGCAAACTTTCCCTCATTGCACACTGTATGACGTATGCCCGTTTTCATAGTAGGAGTAGAACAGTGGGACGTTAAACCCAATTTCATTTCATTTTCTCCGCTTAGCGACATAGTTGATTTCAACAACAATGTCGGACAGTTGACAAAATATCGGAAACAAACTGAACTCTGGAACTAAAATATGAATATACACTTTTTTAATGTTACTCTTTTAGGGAGTTGCAGTACCATGGACACATGGAAAAAGCGATACAAGTTAGGAGATGGAAATATAGATGATATGAAAACTGATCTGGTTAATCAAATCAATGTTGGTTCAAGGGTTGCTGTACTTCAAGAAGATTCTGGTAAACAAAGGCTTTACAAACCTACTATTGTTTATGGAGGCTTGACAGATGAAAGGCTGTACGCCCAAATCTCCAACGAGTTGGGCCTAAATGGAAATGTCTTTGCGCCAGTTGCGGAGAGATTACATCGAACGTTTTACATAGACAATACGTTAATGGTGGCTAGTCAGTTTGATAATATTTCACATATCTCCAATACATCCTACACTTGGTTCACTAAAACTGATTTACACCATTGTTTCAACAAGACATCATTAGGCAATCGTCATAGTTCTGCCGACGACTGCTTCACACAAATACAAAATGGAGGCGAACTATACGTAAAAGTTGGAGAAAAGGGTGGCTTTGCTAGCTTTGAAAGGAAAACGCCAGAAATGAATGATTTTGTCTTTTCCTTGCCGTTTCACCCGTCTCTGATTAACAGCGACCAGACATCTACAACGCCACCGACATGGGCCATTGTGGTTGGAAGTTCTGCGTCTACCAGAATATCAATCTTGACAGCTGAGTTGAGCAAAGGGGCGACCACTCATAATATTGTTACGTCATTAGAGTACATCGATTTCTATGTTGGACCATGCTGGTACCAAGTTTACCACAAAGATGTCACAGGAACAGACGAGGGTTCCTATGATTCCTTACTGGATGCCGTTCTGTCAGGGAAAAGAATCAGAGTCAAATTTGACTCACACGAAAAGGTGTTAACTGTGGACATGATCTCCATTCTTGGTAACAAGTTAAAAGCCAATTTTAAAGTGTTGCCACATACGGCTAGTAATGATGAAAACATTTTACCATTTATAAGGTTTTACCAAATCGCTACTGACGGCAATATGTCTTACTGCTCTGTGGATCTAGAGTCGGATAACATTCATGATGACCATGAAATCGATGTTCCGACATCTTCTTATTGGTATGTTGAATCGAGAGCATGGCGCCTGGTGCTGAAGGTTAGCGACACAGGAGAGGTGGTGGCAGGGTCTATCGATGCATTAAAACAAGCTATACAGGACGGGCAGGGTATAAGGGTTCAATTGACCAGCAACTCGGTCGTCTACATTGTAGATGTTAATGTTGCAGAGTTGAAATCGGACGGTGATGTTATTTTTCAATCTGGACCCCACCTTCACGCGCAGGTTACAACAAATTGTTACGTTATTACCTTTCTTATCGATAACAATTTTAAAGTTACCACAAGACAATGGAGCTTAGTCAGCGATCACGTCATTGATATTAGTTCTGATTTTATTTCATTTGGAATCACCTGGTTCATTGATGATTAAATTCGACCGTTCTGAAAAGACATGTTTTACTTCCTCCACTCAAAATCGTAAATCGTCAGTCTACACTGCTCTACTAAGCCATTGTATTACTATAGTTACTTGTACATTTTACATATATATAGTGTATTTTCTTTTATTTGGTGATGTGATTTGGTTTAATTTGGGGGGGGGGGAGAAAGATATATAAAGTCAGATGTGGACTATTGAGATGATGTTAAAGAAAGTTTTCGCCCCTGTATGTGTGAAATAGCTTTATTTAACGTCCGCTTCCACCGAAGTGATATCGCAGACAATTACATATACATAGTGAAAATATTTACAATGTGATTAGTGGAGAAATTAACAGCCCCTATGGCCATTGAATGTATTTATAATCAGTCTTGCTCAAATTTTCAGAACATAATTGCTAGTATGCGGGTTGACGTGGTGCAGCAACCAGCAGATCAAGCACTAAAAGAAAGTAATAAAACAGGAAGGCTAATATTACACTATTTTTTTAATTTTATTTGCCGTATCACTTTACTTACAAAATAGTTCCTTGCTTTTTACATAAAAGGCGCGGTTCTGAGTTATACCCGGTACCAGGACAACACCGATGCTAGTTCCGGGTTAAACCTGGTACCTGGACAACACCGATGCCCGAATGGCATAATTAAGTGCATGTTCATTACCCCATCTCCGGCAATTCTAATGTGTGAGCTGATCTGTTCTTAAAGAAAGAAAGCAATTAGATCTCCATAAACAGAGGGAATTGTTGAAGATGTTGAAATGAAAATCAATGTCCTGATCAGAATATGTAATGATTGGCAAGCTTTATTAGCTGAACTCGTACAGCGGAATAAGCTTTGATTATTGTTTATGAATAACCACACAAACGATTAATCGTTATGGAAATAATTTAATAAAACATTCAGGTAGATTAAATGGAATTTTCATCTTGCTTGTCTTGCTAAAGTTAGCTTGCGGTCGTTTGATTTAATACTAAAAATATTTAGATATAATTTATACCACGACAATTAAAAATAGAATCAGGAATTTTAGTTTAAAATGTACAGGGAATTTAAAAAGAAATTTCTTCAAATTAAATACTTCGATGGAATGTTGAAAGTAGCAAAATCTCTATTCTTTGGCACCGTTTCCATAATCCGCGAGAGTTTTTCTCCCGCCTTTAAGTTAAAATCTACAGGAAATTTAAAAAGAAATTTCTTCAAATTAAATACTTCGATGGAATGTTGAAAGTAGCAAAATCTCTATTCTTTGGCACATCGAAATGGACACAAATGGGTAGCTATATTATTATGAATGTATATAAACGGATTTACATTCAATCGTTTCTGTTTTTACGTCTACACCAGTAGTATTCTCCTGTGGGGTGGGTATGTTAGTTTCGGTCATCGAGTCGCTTCATTACAAATGGCGCTCGGAAGCATTCTGGCACGCGATTCCTGTGCCATTTTTTAAAAATTTTCATGTCTTAAATATTGGATATCAGAAGCTCATCTTTTCACGGTAAGATAACAACATCGATGTTGATTTAAATTGACCAAAAAATCGTATTTGGAATGTCGAAGACTGTGAATGATATTGACTCCTTTAATGTTAGGCTTGAATCAATTAATATCAGGGACATAACATGTTGACTAACCGGTCTGATAAAAAAAAATCCAGTACACAAAGGCGAGTTGGAAAAAGGGCTGACCATAAACACCTCTACACAGGCAGAATTCTACTGTTTGGCGATCACAAAAATAACCGTTGGTTTGTATTGACGAAATATCTAGCTATTCATGTTTATTAAATAACATTTTACAGCATGCTATATTGACTTTAGTTTGTTCATGCTTCTTAAGGTTGGGTCAGCACAGTCTTATACAAAGGTTGCCATAATTTGTTTTATTAGTATTTCATACCCAATTAATTGCTTTAATGTTAAGGCACATATATTTTATTACAGAAACTGCATAGCTTTGTTATATATTGTATATTATGTAGCATTCAAATAAATAATTTTGGCCATAAGAACTTGTATGAAATATAAAATAACACTTATTAGAACTATCAAAAAAGTTGTATTTTATTGTTTTTTGTGGGTTTTTTTTAGTTTTTTTGTTAATTGGTCTCAATGTAGAACCACAGCATGTGATACTACATAATCCTAAATTAAAAATTCATCAATTATGCAGAAAGAAATAAATGATGTCTTGACAATACGTTAAACCCTATTCCGTTCTGTGTAATGTGTTGACAATACGATAAACCCTATCCCGTTCTATGTAATGTGACAATAACGTAAACCCTATTCCGTTCTATGTAATGTGACAATATAACTCGGAAGCCCATTGAGATTTAATCAAAATATTGGGTCCAGAAGGTTTGAGGTCTACAACACATATTTTACCCCTAGATCATTTTGAAAAGGCAAGTCTTAAGTTTTGTAACCTGTGCATATACCTGGTAGCGCTCCTGCTAACCCTGCCAAATTTATTGGGAGTTAAAATTCAATGTCCATCCACAATTTTCTTGTAAACGTTTTGTAAACGTGATCTGTGCGAACAAGTATCGGTTCGTCTACCTATTAATAATATATTATATGTCTTGAGTTACCACGAAGATGTTCACTCATCCAAACTAATGAGTTAACTCATCCAAAGTAAATCTACACAAATCTACACAATATGTACGTGAGATAATGTTGGCCCATCCGGGAAACCTCGGTAGCTGCACCCATACAATTGTGGAGCGGCTATCGGTTTACTTATTATGAAAACTTGTCGCTTTTAGAAAGAAGTTCCCAAAATGGCACCGCTCGGAGCGTGTGTAGAGTTTTCATTGCAAAATTGTCCTTTGTTTAACGCTAACGCTGCAATATAGGTCCACATTCCTGCTTTGATTGATATGGTACTTTTTAAAATGAAGAGAAGGAAATATGAAATGGCTGTAATATGACAAGAGGCAAAGAAGGCTAGGCGTAGGGTTTGTTTTGCAAAATTTACAGACAAAATATTAACAAAAAAGTGGGGAATGCACCAAGATGAATAGTTGCTGTCTTTACGGTATAAGGAATAAATATGCAAAGTTCCAAGATGTTCCATTCAGAATTGCAGACGATAAATATGAAATTGGGTGTAGCTCTGCACCTGGGGGTGGGATATGGAACAATATAAATAGGTACCACCCTGTTATTGAAATGGTTGATATGCTGAATTTGATCAAAATTTGTTAATTATTACAACCTGTAGAGTATTTACCGATAAAAACTAACAAATAAAAGTGGGTGTTGTACCACACCCCTGGATCGGGACATGCACCAATTTAAATAGTCGCCTCCTTATATATATAGCGTCCAATAATTAGGCAAAATGGACAAGAGTGATCATCATATATGGTATTGTTTATTTATCAGATTATGGTATCTGAAACTGCACTGCGTATTTCCTTTAAAGTCATTATCATGTCATGGTATGATGCACGGGCCACGACTACATTCTCTTTGAGTTAAAAGGTAAATATTATATATATATATATATATATATATATATATATAATATCAAGAAGCAGCTGGAGATCAATAAGTTCAATTTGATAAAAGTTATAGATCATATTGTCACAATAAGGAATTCATATGAAATTTTTCAAGACGATCGATTAAGAATTGTGGCCTGTAAGCGACACACAGACACACAAAAAGAAAAATGGGCGTGGCTCTGCCCCTGCGGTTAAGCATGCACTCCAACCGATAGGGATATTCCTTAGTGTTCAAAGAATAACTATGCAAAGTTTTAAGACGATACGTTAAGCAATGCGGCCTGTAGACGACAAAAAATACAAGAGATGGGCGTGGCTCTGCCCCTGGGGGTCGGGCATGCACCAAAAACAGTAACGATCAAACACAGTACAGGGCGTATGACCGTGATCATTATAACCGACTGGTGCATGACAGTAGTCATAGATAACCCGAGCGATTGTTTGGACCAGGATTTCAGACGTACATTCTTGAACTGTAAACAGTTCATATCCTGAATTGATTTATATTATTTATTTTTTTTAAATTCCCTTTCTTAATATCATTAAAATAGTCTAGAAAGTCTGAAAACTTTAATGGAATTAAAATTCTCGATAATCATTTTTATAAATTTGTGGTATCAAGCAAGGATCACATTTAAGTTATCGATTATTCCTTAGCTGTACTAATACTCTTTATTATAAACTTTTATAATTTTTTATATATATATATTACATTATATACGTGCCCCTAATATCTACCATGCATCCGGTGTATTGATCATACAATATATTAAGATACAGAGGTGCAGCAACAGTACTTAACATGGATTTTTTGAAAATAATCACGATAAGATAAAAGTTTAGTGTGGAAATTCAAAGGTTAGATTAACGCTTGATCTGGCATGACAAAAGAAACCAGACAAAAGTCTACCATTGAACCGTAAAATAGAGGTGATTCTCAAAAATACCTTGGATAGTTCTTTATATTTCTCTAAATATGATTGGCTTAACAGTTATTGATTCGACTGTATATACATCATTTTCTTGATAAAGACTGGAGGATGAGAATCCGCAATTCGTGGTAAAAATATGGTGAGGCTGTGATTGGTTTTAGTAATTCAGATGTATATAATTAATGTGCTTCATGAAAACTAGATAATTATAAGCATCATTCAGTAAGTCCACAGACTGACAAAGACATGAGAATGGTAAGCCACAATCAGTGGTATACATAATATGTTGGTTTTAAAAATTGTTTTAGGAATTCAACTGTATATCTTATGTGCTTGATAAGGACCACATAATCATAAGCATCGTTCAGTAAGCCCATGGTAATCGTATTTCAGACTATATCCTGTGTATAGAGACTGAACCTTTCTTTATACATAGTGATTTACCTCCAACATCTAACATCATGGCTTCAGTGGTAAGAATGTATGGACATTCTGTGTTATATTGCTTATGTAACTTGGTATTATTAAATCATTACATAATGGCTACACTGATATCTGAATATGGTATAATTCGCCCATTTTCAAATACCACTAATATCGCGGCAAATATAACAAGACTGAAGATGAAGGGTTCACGGAGTTATCTGGATTGTTTTGGGAATTGTCTACAGGTATCAC